GTAGGATTTTTTCAGATGGTACAAGGAGGCTGGAACTCTATGGATGCAGATGACATCCTAGTTTCTGTTTGGTTTGCGAGAGCGGTCATGATTGCGTCTAAAATACACATACTCTAGGAATCTGTAAATTACATTTATAAAAGCTGTAGGAAGAAATATACGTTTCACGATTGCATCACATCCAGTGAGAGAAAACCAGCTCGGTACTCACTTGCAGCGAAACAAACGTTTTTTTTTCCCTTCGTCATTTCATCAAAACACCAACACCAGACCCACCTACTCCAAAATCCTCATGGGTCGGACACGTGAGGCAGAACTCACGCGCAGACGTTCCCTCACCCAGTCTTCCCTTTCTTGGCCATGTACCTTTTGCCTTACAAGGGTTAAGTACGCCAGCAACACGTGGAGCTGAACCTCTGATCATGGAACTAGCCCCTTGCGGAAGGAATCATTTCTGAGTGCACTCTTTTCTCTTTTATTTATTTCTATATTTAATTGTTTGCTGATAATATCAATATTTCATTATCATTTCCATCATTATTATCATAATAATATTATTGTTTAGATTACTGTTATTATCATTATTATTTGGTGAGTGTGTGCGTGTGCGTGTGTGTGTGCGTGTGTGTGTGCGTGTGCGTGTGCGTGTGCGTGTGCGTGTGCGTGTGCGTGTGTGCGTGTGTGTGTGCGTGTGCGTGTGCGTGTGCGTGTGCGTGTGCGTGTGCGTGTGCGTTTGCGTGTGAGTGTGTGAGTGGGTGAGTGGGTGAGTGGGTGAGTGTGCGTGTGTGCAAGTGCGTGTGTGCATGAGTGTGTGTGTGTGCGTGAGTGTGTGTGCGTGTGTGTGTGTGTGTGTAAGAGTAAGGGTAAGAGTAAGGGTAAGGGTAAGGGTATGAGTAGGGGTGGGGGTGGGAGTTAGAGTGAGAATGGGAGAGAGTGAATTGTTTAGAAAACATTACCTGGAATAGTAGATGTTGACCTTGTCTCGTCATCGAGGTTTATGAAAGAGGACTGGATATGTGTCTGAACACTTCAAGCTACTTCTGTTGCGTCAGCGTAAACACGTGACTGACGTTGCCGCCTTTTCTGAGTTTGTGTGTTTGTTTTTGAGTATGTCTGTTTGCGAGGATGGTTTTCATCGCCGTTTATGAATAGGTGTGCTTGCGGTCGTGCGCGTGTTTTCTTAGTCTTCGTTTACGTGTGAATGAATATGACTTTGCTTCTCTCTTAACATGTGGTTGAATTCATTGCGTCTGTTTAACCATCCAGTTATTTATTTTCCGTTTTGCACCGAATTATTTTAAAGTTCGATTATGAAAACCTTTATTCGACACGATTATATGGCATTATAGACGTATGGTGCGTTACGTCACGGTTGGTTAACAGAATTTCCATGCACAAATACAGAAGGAAGCATTTAGTTGACGTACATGTTAATGAATATTCCTAATGAATGCTTTCCTTGCATAAGTTAGCATCTTGTTTGTGTAAATCGAATAGAACAAAAACGCTGACGTTTCCTGGTATGAATTTGAGAAACAATATATGAATTGGCTTACCTAAAGCTTTACTCCTTTGACCACTCCGTGAAACGTTGTCTCCATGTTCGTGTACAGAGCGTTTACGTCACAACAGCTTAGCCTCCAGCCACCGTCAAGAGGCTTCTTAACAAAAAGAGAGTTAAAAAGAAAGAGAAAGAATGAGAGGGAGAGCGGAAATCGGCAGTCTTGTCGTAAAAATTCATCCAACAATGATATGTGTTCCTCCATGTACAGTGGCCATTATTGTATTTTCATACTTTGTGGCCAGTTTCTACCCTATTTCCTCACGCTTGGTCACTCTATAAAGAATTATTAATCAGTACAACTCTTGAGTCCCGAAAGAATCCCCAGTCAGACTTGTCCATTACGACGTCCTTACGCAAGGTGGCCGTGCTCTGACCCGCCGCCCCCCCTCCGCATGTGTCCACTTCTCTCGTCCCGTCTGCCCGACAATGGCGACGTGGACATCGCCCTGCTTCGCATTGTTCTCGACTGATGGCCAAGTACCATCGTCTGTCTCTCCTGCTGAAAAATGGAAGTTTCCGCCTTGCTTCCGGACCGTTTCGCCCGTTTCGTCGATATCCCTCGTCTTTCATTCTTTTTTCTTCTCTACGTCTTTTTTCTTCTCTTGCTTCACCTCTTTTTTCGTAGGATTCTTGGTCTACTATCTGCTCCTCTGCTCCTCTACTTTCTCCTTCCTCCTTTTTTTTCCTTTTCTGTTTTTTTTCTTTCCTTTTCTTTCTCTTTCCCCTTCCCCTTCTCTTCTTTTCTCCTTCTCTTTTTCTGTTGCTCCTCCTCCTCCTTCTTTTTCTTTTTCTTCTTTTCTCCTCCTCGTCCTCCTTCTTTTTCTATTTCTTCTTTTCTCCTCCTCCTCCTCTTTCTCCCCTTCTTCCTCCTCCTCCTCCTCCTCCACACCCCCCCTCTTCCACCTCCTTCGCCTCCCCCTCCCCCTCCCCCTCCTCTACCCCCTCCTCCTCCTCTCCCTCCTCCTCCTCCTCCTCCTCCTCCTCCTCCTCCTCCTCCTCCTCCTCCTCCTCCTCCTCCTCCTCCTCCTCCTCCTCCTCCTCTCCCCTCCTCCTCCTCCTCTTCCCCCACACTCCTTTCCTTCAATTGTCGCTTCCTTCCTAACCCAATAATATTCCTTTAAAACAACACAGATATAGGTTTAACGTCGTGCATATTTCAACGTTTCATGTTTAGAGGCATCACGTGTTTGCTCATCTGCAGCCTCGGGCGTATCTGGCAAATAGTTCCCAAATTTTCCCATTTGCATATATAGATCCTTCCAAGTAGACCATTCCTTGAGAAGTGCAGAAAGGGGAAGTGGGCGAAGACAGTGAGTGTGGGGGTTGGTGTGGGAAGGAGTGTGAATATGGGGGTGTGGGGGTTGGTGTGGGAAGAAGCGTGAATGTGGGAGTATGGGGGTTGGTGTGGGAAGAAGTGTGAATGGAGGGATGTGGGTGTAGGTGAAGGAGGAATAGTTAGTGTGGGGGTTAGTGTGGGAAGAAGAGTTAGTGTAGGGGTTGGTGTGGGAAGCAGAGTGAGTGTGGGGATTGGTGTGGGACGAAGAGTGAGTGTGGGGGTGTGGGGGCTGGTGTGGGAAAAAGTGTGAGTGTGGGGGTGGTGTTGGAAGGAGAGTGAGTGTGGGAGTGTGTGAATCTGAAAATGAGTGAGTGTAGATGTGAGAGTGAGTGACAGTAAGTATGAATGTGAGTGAGAGTGAATGCATATGTGAGAATGAGTAAGCGTGCGTGTCGGATTGGGTGAGATTGAGTGTGAGTGTAATAGTGAGTAAGAGTGCGTGCCTTTGAAGATGAGTAAATGAGCCATTTTGATCCGGCAATGTGATGAGTTGCATAATGAGACTTAATGAGGGGTCATGCAGGAAAAGACTATACTAGACTGCAGATGTGGGCACTGACACGCATGTGGGGCTGTAGACTATAGACATATCAGTATGTATATAAAAGCTGTGTACATAAAACGTAGGGAGAGTGACAGGCAAAAACAGTTAAGAACTAAGATAAATAGAGAATATAGAGAAAGAAATATGATGAAGGGAGAGTGCACAGATTATCTCGTGGGAGTGGAGTTGTTGACTGATGTGCACGCGAGATATTTTTTTTTTGTGTTGAGCCTAGATCAGAAGCGGAGGGTGCGCGCGCGTGGGCGGTGTCGACCCGGATGTTGTTTGCCCGAATAGGCGACGAGTATTCGGTCTCGGCGAAGGGGGAGAACTGTGCTCGCCATTTGCATTTTAGGAAGTTGCGAACGACCAGGAATTCCTGTAGCGAAGATGATTTTCTTGAAAAAAATATGGTCACGACGTTGCGTCGTTGCCTACAGGACTGAAGTTATGTATATATATACATACATATATATGTATACATATGTTTATATATATATATATATGTATATATATATATATATATATATATATATATATATATATATATATATATATATATATGTGTGTGTGTGTATATATATATATATATATATATATATATATATATATATATATATATATATATATATGTATATATATATATATGTATATATATATATATATATATATATATATATATATATATATATATATATGTATATATATATATATATATATATATATATATATATATATATATATATATATATATATATATGTATATATATATATATATATATATATATATATATATATATATATATATATATGTATATATATATATATATATATATATATATATATATATATATATATATATATATATATATATATATATATATATATATATATGTGTGTGTGTGTGTGTGTGTGTGTGTGTATATATATGTATATATATGTATATATATATTAGATCTTCGCATCTGACAACCCTGAGTTTTACAGCAGCTCATAAATGCACTAAGCAACTATATGTATTCCAAACTGGACTAAAACTGCTGCATTGTGGAGGCGACCGAATGATCCTATGAAGAGTTTAATCTCTCTCGTTAATCCACTTTTCGAAAAGATAGGATCATCTCCGGACGGAGGCCACTGCGCCAGTGGGGAAGGAGAGAAAAGACAATTGCGGAGGAAGGAAAGAGAGGAAGAGCGGTTATGTAGTTGTTTAGGATTGTTTCAATCTATGAAAAAAATGTTGCTTTTGATAAACACGACTGTTTGGCTTGATCTGCCGAAAATCGAATGACTGCAACAGAACACTGCAGTCGTGACCCCGCGGATTCCGAGTCCAAGTGGCTCTGGCTCCGCGCTTGCACCTCGGGGGAATACCAGCCGCATTGTAATCCTCCCCTGAAGTCTATTGAGCATCATGCTACGTCAGGAAGCCTCACGAGGGATGTGGTGTCGCCGGGTGCCAGGAAGAGCCACGGAAGCCCAGTTGCTCGCCAGCAGGGTCAAGAGTCGCACCCTGGCACGTTGCCTTCGTATGTGAGGTGATTTTCAAGTGGTGT